TGTGATTGCTTAGGTCAATACAATAAATCCCTGAATGAAGAACTTTATTCAATATCAAAATGGAAAATGTATCCCTTATCCTAGCTCTGAAACTGTAATTTAATATGATCTGCCAGTCTGGAGATGTGAAAGGCAGCTGCTTGTAAAACACAAAGAAAAAAAAACTGCTTTGGAAATAGATTAAAAATGCCCTCTTTTCATTGCACACTGCAAGGTTTCCTCAGTTTACAGGGTTAAGAAATCTCTAAGCACCATGCCTGTTGTTGACAATCCTTGTGACTAAAATTAATTTCTTACACCTTTATGCATTCAAGAGCATTATAAAGAGCTATATTATGAAACAGTGTTTCGTGTCTGAACTTTATCTTTTGCTTGATCAAATCCTATACACACCTGTTGCTAAGACATATGTATATATTAACAAAATTCCTGGAATGTTGTTAAAATCTGAAAAGACACCACAATATTAATATGCAAGCATAGCAAAAAATCGAAGAGAAACAAAGAAAAAATGCAAAATGTGTCAACTAGAAAACTGATTGCTAAATAATTCCTAAAATAATTTTCTGTAATTTTTTTGTTAAAGGTGTTTTGAGCAAGGCACTCACCTAAAAAGCCACCTGTTGAAAACTAAAGAATTACAAATCAAGGTTCTAATGGGACCAAACTATTGTCATTAATATACAGCAATGTATGTTGTACAGTATGTACAAATAAGACCAAGAAATGCACAAAAAGGTGACATTATGTACTGTACAGTGTGAAATGTGAATATGACTATAATAACAATGTGTTATACTTGACATCTTGCTGCACATTAATTAAAGTAAAATGTTGGTATCAATAAATTACTATCTTCATACACATACACATGTAATTTTAAAACAGAGATTTCACGTTCTTTATCCAACAGCAAATAACACTGAGACACAACATGAACATTACTACTTTTATTTATTTTTTTCCAAAGTGTTAAGAATTAGCAACATAAAATTATCCAAGCAACAACATTTTTTAAAATACAGTATACAAAGAAACTGGTGGTGTCTGTTTTTCCAAGTAGTCAGAATTTATTATTTCATATTTAAAATGTAATGATTATATAAATTACATTACAAATACAATAAAATGTTCTCATAGATAAGGTGTTGTCTGACTGTTAATTTAAATTTATCATTGATTTACCAACAATATAATTACCAAATTCTAATCTAATCTTGTCAGATATTAGAAGGAAGAAGGAAGATTGGGTAGGTCAGTACTGGAATGGAAAACTACCAAAGAAAACCAGGTTACTGCTGTGCAGTATGTGTTGATATTAGTGATACATAGAGTACAGGTACAGTATATGGTATATCGTGTATACAATAATAGTGGTATATAAAGTATGTAATACAGGAACACTTGTAATACAAAGTATATGTATATTCCACTTGTCATCAATGTTTCAGACAATTTGTCTATATTGCAAATGAGTAATTTACATTAAAAATAATATCACTGATGCATATAGTAGTTATTATTTCATGAAAGTAGGCTTTGAATTAAAACAGTGAAAAAATGTTGTTGGGGTCTAAGACACAACTAAAAAAAGGGCAAACAAACAAGACTACTAAACCAGACTATGAGATATTAACCCACAATGCAATATTACATGGCTGAGATCATTACATTTGGAAATCAGAATTTCGAAAATACTGCACTTCATTAGAAAATACATTACAATTCCCTCTTTTGTGTTTGCAGAAAGGCTACAAGCATAGTAGAAAAGTGTCCAAAATAAACAAGATAAAATAAGATTATTAAAAAGATGAGCAGATTATAAGTTGTATTTGAAGGAAAGAATAAATATAAATTGAAAACATTAATGCAAACCATTGCTTTGTAATCCATTAAAAGGTTTAATAAATGTGAAGTGGCAAGTGCTGTTAATATGATCTCCTAGGACCATACCATCACTTTTGTGATCTGCCTTCAATGCAAGGTGTAATTTTTTGCTGTTCAATACCATGTGGAATTCTCCTTCTGTTACTTCTCCAGTCTCTTTAACAAATAACAACAAAAAAATCAATAATTTTGTACCTTTGGCTTCATTGTAGCAGATCCTATTTTAAATCAGCTCTCTGGCAATGGGCCCAGTCTGTCGTCTCAGGTAATGTTGAAAGCCATCTCGTCTCTTCACTCTCTCGCTCTTTGGATAAAAGGAAAGCAAGCAATTCCATACTGATGACAGCCGTCTCACACAGCTGGTAGGTAAAGATCGCACATTTTTAATGGACCAACCCTGCCAAGGATGTGCAAACAGCAAAAAAAGATGTCACCCACATCTTAGGATGGTTTGAGTTATTTTAATCTAAAACCCTGTAACAGGACACATGATGTATTTTACAAGTCAATGAAAAGTGCTAACGATATTGATTATTTTCTAACTACAATATCCCAAAGACTTAAAAACTAATGTCATGCTTTTTTCAAAGTTGTAAAAATGCAGATGTTTTTACTGTAAAACTGGGCATGAGAATTTCTTGGAGAATAAGTCACCTGTGATTTAAAATGTAATGCTTAATACTTTTATAAGTGATAATTCATCTTAATATTAATAGTTTCTGTTGTAATACACAAAAAAAGATTAGATTAACCATGTGTAATAGCCTTTATTAGGAAAATATATGATTCAGCAGATTTTCAAACAATGACAAAGTATTTCAAGTGTCTTCAATTCTTCAGACTAAGTTTAATCCCTAAGACTAAGTTTAAAAATTAAGTTTTGTTAAACATCCACAGACCATCACTTCACTTTTCTACCTTTTCTACGTTCACTGAAGCAGATTCAATCCAAAAATATGTTTACACATGACCCAAAATCTATTTTAAAACAATAAAAACCTTTTTATTTTGCATTTTGTCACTGTGAAAAACTGCTATCTTTTTCACCCATCATTACTTAATGTGACTGAAACCACTTGTGCTTATTGTGTAGTCAGAGAGAAACAAATAATACAGTATGTTAAGGATAAATGTTAAATGTATAAATGACTCATACAACCATGTTTTTTTTTAATTGGGATAATAAACCCTTGTTAAGAATAGCAAGTGCATTTTAATAAAATGTGTTAAGATGGAATTAGTATCTTTTGTATGCAGCTTTTACAAGTAGGATCAGGATCATATACTGTAGTAATCGTAAAATTCAAAAGTGTCGCCCTTTACATACTGTAAAAGTCACATTTTTCTCTTAATAAATGGATATCATTGAATGAAAATTTGGAGGGAGGGTAGTCTTTTTCTTAGCAGTCACTGGCTCTATGATATAAATATGATGCTCTAAATCACATATACTATTTTACGTACACTACCACCAATGGATTCCAACTTCTTTGTCCTATACAGTACTTTACTACTTCACATAGATGAGTGAGTTTTAAGATTAAACTACATAATCTCTGCATAATTAAACTCACCCATGTAATGATAAGACAACAGGAAAGTCATTCATAGTTTTACTATTATGGTTTTAGTAATTATTTCACAGTGTGAAACATAAAGCAGTATTTACTTAAGAGGTTAAATGAAAATTATACACCATAATCATAAATATAAAACACTACAGTATATCAGTGTTTTTATTTTATTGTGTATTTTTCACCAAACAGTTAAAATGTTCATAAGGTAACTCAAAATTGTTAATAACTTCTGTGTTTATCAGTATCATAACAATATTGAACAAAACTCCAAAACACCTATCACCACTCTAAACATTGCCCCTTCAGGGTATCAGCCAATGCAATCAGTAACAGGGTATCAATTGTTTAATGTAGTTTTCTTTTTCCAGTTATTTAGTTCTTGTCTAGTCTTTAAATCTGGAAGTATAAAAGCAAATTGAAATAGTTACTGTACTGTATAACCAGTTAATAACCAGTAAAATCCTATTTCATGTTATTAATACATATAATAAAAATACAAAACAAAATGAATGTCAAAATGTTGTACTGTCTGAGCTGTGCAAACAGTCCTACAAAGCAAAACATGTACTATAAGCATGAGGGACTGATGTTGCAAACTTAAGTTGGTGTTTAAATTACTTCTGACAATTTCATACATTTTGCACAAGGTTTTGTACATAGTCCTCTAAAAGTGTTACAAATTGTGTTTTTCACACAAACATGTATTAATGTAGGGTTTGAATTATATCATATAGAAAATCTGTTCTTATGGGGACTCTGATACTAAATACAAACCTAAAATTAACATTCACGTTTATGTTTTTGGTTCAGAGGTTTGGCTTTAAATTAAATAAGTTTACATAGGGATAAAAAAGGGGAAAGAAGTTGCATGTGTAAACAGAATGTACCTATTAGTCTGACAAAAAGAAGCATAGGTTTTGAACTGTGCTGCATAAAGAATAATGTAGTCCTAAGCAGATGGGGGAAATGTAAAGGACACCTGTCCCAGAAAACAATAAACTGTGGGACCCCAGGCCACAAAACAAGTCAGAAGACATGAATGTTTTATAACTGCTTTGTCACTTTAAACAGCAATTATTAGTTTTGCTGATGAGAAACATCTTCAATTATTCAGAAGGAATTCTGATTTCCCTGTCTAGTGAATTGGTTATCTACTTAAAGTACTGTTATTGTGAAATATTGGATTTCTTTCTTTTTTAAAACTAATAAAGCAGATAAAATGAGTGAAACAAGTCAAGGAATTATTTGAAAGAAAAAAAAAATCATTCCTTCTGGAAAGCTCTTGGATCACCCAGGTTTCCCAGCCAAATCTGCAACAGTGCATAAAGACTTACGTATGAGACCTGCCTGCAAAGAGACATTTTGAATCTGGATCCTTGAAGCAGATAATTTAAAATTCTCAAACACTTGGAGGGAAGCCTGCTGTGCCGATCAGACCTGATCAGACCTGAAAAGGAGCTGTAATCCTGTTTGCGCTCTTCCTTCGGTGTAAAAGTAAATAAAAACACACACACACACAAAACACATCAGCAGCACTTCAGCTGTAAAGGGACTTTTTCTTTTGTGGTGAGACATTTAAGCACATTCTTTACAAAGCAGAAAAAATTAGAATTTGCATATGCTCTTCACATCAGTTCATTAGTGTAGATAACAGAGGGATCGGTTTATTTGACAGAAACGGCGGGATCACAGGCACAAAGCGCAGGTTCTGTTCGTTCTATGCTGTTATTTTCCCAGGCTGCTTGAGGCTGAAGCCTCCTCCAGTGAAGCGCGGGCCCTCACTACGCTGAGGCTGAATTAAAGGCTGTCCCACCTGAGCCAGGCTTCTCTCTTTCTCCCTGCAAAAACAGAAGGAAAAAAATACATGCCCGTTTCAGTGGATTCTGGCTCCAGAAAAGTAATCTTTTCTAAACAAAACATTGAGTTTGCAGTTAAGCAGCCATTATAAACAGAAAGGCCCTTCCACATACACTACACAGTGTAACTATATTACTTCAAACATGATTTGGTTCATAAGACTGCTTAAATATACAATGATGTTGTATATGTAGTATATGTACAATGTAGTATGATGCATTTACATACTGTATATTAATGAACTTGGTTACAAAGCAATTTGCTCCTAGTCAAAATGCATATTATAATTTCATATAGCTCTGTAATGAATTTCTTCACTTTCACTTTCAAAAATCTCTAAAGCAATCCTGGCTTATATTTTAGTAATAAAGATATTATTTTCTTGTTCAGACATAACCACAAATAGGTACTAATTAAAAGAAAAAGGCCTTGTTGAAAAACTGGTGTTAATGTGTAACAAAAGCCATGTACAGTAAATATCTCACAGACACAGCGATGCATTCTCTCTTTATGTGTTCATTTAATAAATAAATAAAATACATATATTTTAAACAGTTCTGTCAATGAAGAAATATAAATATTTTTGTCTCAAAAGTCTGCCTACTTGAGATTAATTTTATTAATCAAGTCACTAGAGCATTACTGCATTCCTTCACTGCAGTAAAGAAGAACATTTTAATGTCAGTATTTTACACTGATCTTCAAATGTATCTTCTTATGTCTTTATCAAGAGGTGGTGTTGACAAAACTCTTAGTTAAACAGTAATTAAATAAAAAAAACATTTTGCTTGCAGTTTATAATGGATATCCACCCACTCTCACAGGTAAATCAGCAGTCTATGAACATTTGATTATCTTTACTAATTATCTACTAAGCGATTTAAGATGCTAAATGTATTACTAAATTATACATTTATGATGTTGATACATTTGTAATGAAATTACATTTTAATCTGTACACAGTTTTGTGTGTATTTTAACAATTTTATTTTAAAATGGTGTCCTACAAATGGAGGAGAAAACTGGTGAATAACTGGGATAGCGCATGTTAAAAATTATTGCTTAATGTGTACTTATGTATTCCAGTCAGCTGAGGCTGTTTACAGTTTTTTATTAAAAATGTATAAGGTCATTGATACAGTTTACCAATGTAACACCATGATCGTTACTGTAGTCCTATGATTGTGACATGGCAAAGACATGTCCAGTGTTGAAGCTATTTCTTTACCTACAGTATTTTGTCTATGCAAGTGGTATTGAAACAGCAAGAGTGAAATTGATCTTGAAATAAAATGTGAATATTATTGCTTATTATTACAGCATTATGGATAACAGCGGACAAAACAGAGTTCACATCTGTCACATTCATACAGTACGGTACTTCTGGTTACAGTATATCCAAATTATAAAGAGAGTATTATGTGTTTGATACTGTAAGTATCAAAGATGTTTATGGATCTCATTTTGTTCGCCTTTATTTTTATGCACTTCAGCATGGAATCGCTGTCACACTCACTGAAACATCACTTAGCATCTACTTGTTGTTATGGCTTTTTCACTTATTTTGTACAATCTCCTTTCATTTTCAGTGCTACCGCTTGCTGACACAGCACTACCTTTTGCAGTTTCCACAGAAAACCATGTTTCACTCTGCAGTACTAAATGTTTACATGACAAGTGTGTCCTATGATTGTGATTGGGTTGCTATTTTCACAGAATGTGTTACTCATGAAAATCTGCTGCCAGAAACAGCTGGAAGGTGAAATGGAAATCATTACACATGGCAGACGCACAAGTCCTTTTTCTTTTCTCCACTGCAGACATGAAATAAAACATCTTGATTATAATACAAAAATGAAAAGGGATGCTAATATTCGGATAAACTCTCTTGGGAGCTTTGTGTGTATATCAGGAGAATAAAGGCAGGCAATCAATCAGGGAACAAAAGCAATTATACATGGGCTGGGATCCTGTAACTTTTAATTTACACATCTGAACTAACTTCATAACCTCTGATCCTTGATGTAAAATGATACCTGCTTTTCAGTTACTTATCCAAGCAAAAGCAGCCCTATAGAGGATCGTCATTTGATCTGCCAGCTGTCTGTAATGGAAGGTGGTATTAAACCTTTAAGCCCTAATTACATTATGAGAGAGGGAATTGGAAAGATAAAACATAACTCTAATGTGCAGACCATATACCAGAATGATAGTTCGTGATGATGGATGAAGTTAATGAATTTCTAAGAAACCTGGACATTCATACTGTTGTATCTACTCATTTTTGTTAACAGAGATACACCGTATTAAAAAGTAAACCCATTTTTTTCTCTTATATTTGTATAAACTAATTTCTGTTTCTTTTTGAACATCCTTGGTGCTGACAGAATTTTTTACATAATGTTTCTATTTAGGTACTTAAATCAAATTTAACCTGAATATTAAATTCAAACAGAAGCTGAATAGTAGGCAGATTCAAAACCTCCCAGGATTCTGCAACAAATTTTGTACTCTTCTTCTTTACAAATCAGCAAAAACACCTTACATTTGATTACTTCACCATGACATAGTCTTTGTGGTGTCCTGCTGCTTTTACTAAAACTTGATGTTCCTACATGGAAAGGTGTAGGTTTTGTTTATCACACCTCCTACATCTGAGTGTTGTTTCAAGAATCTTGTCTGAAAATGACAGATGTATGAGAAGGAGATTATTCTTCTTTTTGGAGTGCTGATTTAAGTTATGCTTGATCACCTCTTACTACTTATTTGTGTTTGCACCACAGTCTGTAAAGAAGGCCAAAGCTGGGGTTGATGCCAAATGAAGAAACCTATGGTCTAATTTCCATACAATTTATTGAGCACTTGTCAACTCTTGCTTTTATCTTCTCGTCTCTCTCCTCCTTTGCCTATGATAGCAGCTAGCTGATATCAAGTGTTACAGCATCCTTGGAGTCACATTCGCATGAATTCACAGAATCCATAAAAAATGTATGATGCTTTTTAATGCCACCTCAAAAAGGGCATCAGAGCAAAGCCTGCTGCTCTTAGATGGAAACAGGGCCTTTCCAGATAAACACTAAGACATCTAGAATATTAACCACTCTACATTCATATATCTTTTCACACTGTCTTCATGGATGGTTCCTCAGGTTACTGGTTGGCCTACAAAAAAGAAATAAAGCTGTTCTAACAGTGTGCTGCTCCCGAGGACACTGTTTCAAAACTAAATACCATCTATTGCTCCCTTTTAACTGAATTTAAAGTTTTTAGGATGCAATTTTAAAATTCTGCTTTTGAAATATTTTACTTATAGTCTACATTGTATTCATGGCTCTGAATTAAAAGTTGAAAATGTTCTGCAGTGATAAAAACAGAGAGAAATATATTTTTTCAGCACTAATGAGTTCACAGTAGTTATTACAGAAAGACGCCTGTGCACTAAACACCAATTTATTCATGCAATGGCAAAATGATCTCTTAGATACATTCTGTGAAACACTGGACTGTCACTGATAATTATCCATCCAATCCCTGCATTATTTGTACTGTCCTTTTAAATTCAGTACAAGTGTTTAATCTAATCTAAAAGCTGTCATTAGCTATTGATTTTACTGTAATTGGGCTTTAAAACTCCAGGCTTTTGTGCCCAGTGATAACAAATGTAGCAACCACTGCCAGTTGCTAACGTATGTTAATAATGTTATGTATCCGATTTAGAAAACCAGCTACCCACACATTTTATCCAAGGTTTGTCTGACAATCTATACCTGATTTATTGATAAAATAAATGCCATTAAAAAGAAAATGATTCAATGATGATCTTGATAAATGCCATGTCAATTCTAACCATAATACCCATTAACAAAAACTAATATTAAGGATGACACTGATTCAGGCTGAGGGCCCTAAATTCAATTCAAATATTTAAAAACAGTAATATGAAGTTACTTTGCAATATAAGACAAAAACAAATCACATTATAAAGATTTCTAATGTAATCATAGCATGAAATGATAGTCTCCCTTGTATTCAGTATAATGTGCTGTAAAACAATACAAAAGATGATGGGACAGACTAATTTGTTGTTCTTTAAGTTATATTTCATCAAGTGGGTACCATAAAGATGGCTGCATTTCACTCACTTGTACTGTAGGACTCCAGGGACAATTTAAGTAGACAAAATCAACTTAGGAACCACCAAATAAGACCTAATCAGGCATTGTTATTCAAAAACACACACTATTTTAATAAATGTCTGTGAAATAAGCAAACTTCATTCATGCAGTAGCAATGTGATCTTTGGAGAACATTGGGTATTCACTGGTAATTTTGTATATGGCACAGCACTAAAGATTTGAAAATATGTAGGCTTATATGATGAAAACACTAATATTGTGAGCTACACTCACCATGTGAATTCACTCGTGTTTTTCTGTCGAAGAACTAATTGCAAGTCTGTCTTAAAGGGCAGCAAGCTTAATTTAAAAAAAATACTGTTACAGGCTGAGCTACTGTACAGTAGATGACAATGGAGGTCTACCAAAGAATCAAGACCCAATGGGTTATACCTAACTGGTGTCAATATTTCCACATCCTAGAGCTTGAAACTAATGGAATGTTTACTTAGCACTGCTAGGTGTGAGAAACACTGATCAAAAGAATCTTCTGGTTTACCTTAGTTAATTCAATTCTGTGAAAATGATTGAATATCAATCAACAGTCCAGAAAGAGAACATACTGTATAAGATCAGATCAAGACAGAGGGAAAAAAGGAGAAAAGGGAAAAAGAAGGTCTTCCAGAGAGAAAGGAGACAGAAATAGAGCTTGGTAGCAGCCTGGAGTTTTCTTGGTGGTCCAGATGTAGGTCTCTGAAAGACCTTGTCTATAAATTTGTAAATACAGTACCTTGTGTGTTCTATGTGTTTATGTTGTGTGTAGTGTGTGTTACTATCATTGCTAATAAATATTTGTTTAACCTATTGTGCCTGAGTTATTACTCTTTTCACCAGAGTTGTTCCACAGGACAAAGATTTCATGTGCCTCTAATTATACCAACTGCTCAGGTATATTCTTAGAAAACTAGGTTACAAGTAGGGGGTTATATGTAATATATATATATTAGTTATTGACTGAGCAATTCCTGATATTCATAATTTTTGTAACCCCCCCATTTGTAATAATATTTTTTTAAATGTCCCCTTATGTACATCTGAAAAAAATAATGTAGTCTTAAATCTAATTAGCAGCCTCTACCAAAAGTTAGTCTCTTATCACAAGCTTTAAGAATGCTGAATCATGCTTCAAGAAGTATCATGTCAATACTTCTGGTAAAGTGATACAGAGAAAAATTAAAATCCACATATGGAATTTAGCCTCACATGGCAAGGTTTCATTATTTTTCATCAGGTCAATGTTTATAAATTGTGCCCATTAACAATACTGATTTGGGATTTTGTGCAAATATTGTACATTGGCGATTAGTGCTGTGTTCATGACTGCAGTAAAAAGTCAAGACAGAGTAAATATATTTTTTCTCTTTTCCATCAAAAAAGATGATAAACTGACAATGGAGACTGTTCAAAGAAACATTTCTATATTCTAAAAAAAGTGAAAAGACAGCAATCAAGGGCAATCATTTTGATCACAATGCATTCTAAAATTTGTTTTACATAAATCATCCCACTCAGCAGTGCTGGTTAATATTAACATGTTTTTTAACAGCTATGATACATCATATATGTGTTTGTATATGTAATGTGACTGATGTAAAGTGAATGCTTCTGCTTGGTAGGCACAATATATCGGCAATTGTACAGGTCATATTCCAAAACATTGTGGAATATATTAATCAGGTTATGATCTGTAACAATATAGGTTGTATAAGGAGATGGATCTTTTTTGGAGAGGGGTTAAACTTCTTAGAGTTCTAAGCTGTAAATAAGACAGAAATTGAAAGTAAAAATTACACAGGCTTTACTTGTGTGTTGTCTACAATACATAGGAACATCCATACATTAATTTATTCATTTTCAAACCAGTTTATCCGATGAAGGGTCAATGGGGAGCTTGAGCCTAACCCAGCAAGCAAAAGGCACAAGGCAGGACGGGACCTAGATAGGACGCCAGTTCATCTCAGGGCACACACACCACACACACCCACACACACACCAGGGCCATTTATCCCAGAAGCCAGTTAACGTACCAATATGTTTCTGGACTATGTGTGGAAACCAGAGCACCTGGAGGAAATACCAGGCAAACACGGGTAGAACAGAAAAACTCCACACAGATAGCATCCCAGGAATTGAACCAAGGTCCCAGTGCTACAAGGCAGCAATGCTAACCACTGCACTACTGTGCCACCCCTCATAAAATCCCATATTTTTAGAAACACTGATTAATACCTTATATTATGTCACAAAGGGGCACTGTTGGTCCATGACAACAAACATTTTTTTTTTTTTTATAGCTGTTGGGGAAATGTCTTCCCAGTATCACGTATTCTCCTCTGAAAGTAGTACTGTAACACACCCCCCTCACTGGGGAAACTCAAGGACGCAAGGTGTACTATGTCATCGGGGAAAACCTCTGCATAGTTTTTTTTCTAAATCCATCTAAGCAAGAAACTACTAAGGAATCTTCGGTATCCCAGGCTCAGAGACCTACACTCCTGGTGGCATGACATAATCCCTGATCTTATCTCTTTTCATGCTTTGGTCCTATCTTTCCTGACCCCCTTCCAGGTCATGTTCAAGGTCCTAACTAAACACCACTGACTCACAGTATCTCTGGCTAGGTGAACCATACACATCTTGGTCTTGGTTCTCATGTCCCTGATGCAAACTAGCAGTGGAAATCCCTTACCCAATCATTCCCTTTTAGTTGAACTGCCCTACCACCTTATTTACCGTACTGGCAGTTTGACACACCAATGACAGAGGCTGCTACTATTGTGTAGCCTTCCCTTGCTCCTTGATAGACAATCTCTCAGAGACCAAACACCTTGCAGTTCACTCACTGCATCGCAGTGCTTTACACAAGCAAACACACCTGCTCATCCCTAAACACACACGGGCACCTGACACACTCCAGCTCGGCCATACAGTATCTACTGCCTCGCCCCCCATTAGCTGGGTGAACTACTCCCAGCATGAACTTACTACTTGGGAGATGCGCTTTTGCTTCCACTGTGTACTGAGGTTAGCTTAGCCTGACATCCCTGTCTCACTCTGACTGCAGTGAAGTACACATCTGTAATACCGACCTCAGCTGTAGCTCATCAAATCACATACATCCTCGGCATTACTGCCTCAAGCAGCATTACTTGTATAAAACTTTAGACTTCCATAGACACAATCCTAAAAGGGTGTATTAAAGTCATTGTTCTCATTAGAACTGATAGTCAAATGGGGAAATTTAAAATATTGTAAATACTATTTTACAGAATGCTCTTTTCAGTTTTACAGAATTCCATTAGCCAGAAGAACAACAGGCTTAATTACATTATCATACTTGTATGATAGTAGCTCACGAACAACCAAAAGCTTTTAATATCCAGTCCAGAGTCTGAATCCTTTCCAATGGAACACCCTGTGAAGTTGAAGAAAGCTAAAGAAAGGAAAATTTACACATTATTTCACCAGATGGCTAAACTGTGTCAGTTATATGGTGCAAGCTGTTATCTTTTTCAAAGATGGACCTACTGTATGCACCACACTGATGAAATTCTACTTTCAATATTAATCTTTTAAACATATTATTTTTTAAAGTTGATGAATTTCAGTTGCATTTCTTTAAATATGAGAATTCTCATCAAAATATGACATAGAGAACTCAGTTACTGTAGCTTTTTTTGAAGAAGCAATAATAGCAGTAATAGTAATACCATTTTAGAACATACTATCACAAATGGCATGATAAAACTCAGAAAACAATATAATGACTAATTACTGTACTAAATGTGAAGAAGGATACACATTCCAGATCCCGCTCTATAAAAAAACTCTAATGATTGCTACAAATTAACTCTTACTGTTTCTCACTATATAATTAGAGCTCTCTCTTTAATTATGAAAAAGCTACAATTTGTACCCTCCAGCATGCTGATGAAAAGGCAAATATTATATCTTACATTTTAATAGCCTATTAATTTTTTCTACTTTGGCATGTTGCTTAGTTGCATTAAATGAACATACTGTATCACGTTTTAAAATTCAAATTCCAAAATGTGTTGTTTCTAAGCAAAATTCACTCATTTACAAATATAAAGATTACAAGAAAATTAAGGTCCAAAAAATTGCAAAAACTGTATTTTTTACATGCAAACGTTTTTGAAATTTTTACCATTTTATTTGAAGTTTATATGGAGAAATAACGCAAATTTTGGTGTCAATGAGTACTAAAGATTTGTTTCTGACAGTACGAAGCTCTTACCAAAGTACTTGTTTTTCTTATAAAGTTGCGAAGAAAGAATAAGAATGGTCTCAGAAATGTTTGGCTTATTGGACGGGACAGGGCTTAGAGCTTTTCAAGCACACGACTACATGAAAGGCAGTTTAGGCACCATCTAAAAATACATAATGCAGCTACATTCTATTAACAGTAAGGAGATACAGAGTAATGCATTATATAAATAAATAAACACAATCCCTGCTGAGTTTGAACCCCTGAATTAAATTATCCTTGTTTGCAGACTCCAGTTGGTAATAGAACTGTAAAATATTATTCCACAAAACCCCATCAATGACAGTGTATTATAAAGTCATAAGTAGAATATATTAAATGGGTCTGCATTATTTATTTTATTGTAATTTGCCATATTTTCAGAAGATTACTTGTCAAGTTTACCCATATGGAAAGGAACTATGGGCAGGAATTCTCAGTAGGTGATATTTTACTTGGACAGAATTCAAAGTCATTGCTTTCTGGCTGCCCTCGCCATTTTTTTTTTACTTCCAGCACCTTGTGGTGGGACAGAGCTACAGCTACAGCTGGCTGAGTTTATTAATGGATATAAAATAATCCAATCAAAGAACGATGTACAAACAGAAATAAAAGTGCATTTTGTGTATTTATTTTTCTACATCCCCTCCCTAGATTTTATTTATAAACTCAACAGTCCTGAATCAAAGAAGAAAAGGCCCCAATGGCACTTTTATACAGTTCCTTACAGTCTGCCTTCCTCATCCCACTGAATTCTTTCATTTCTGCATGTCAAAAGCCCTCCCACATGGATACTCATTGTAGACATCAAAGGTCACTGTCAAGTTAAAGCATATCATACACAAACTCGGTTTCCTGCAGCCCCACTACACTTCAATAAGGTTAGTTTAAACCCCATGAAAGATCATGTTTCAGTATGCGTTAAAAGGCTCTTACCTGGACTGCTGTTCCTTGCGCTTCTGAGTGAGATACTTTTTCTTGACATTTTGCAGCTCATGAGCCAATCTCTCAATCTCATATTTGTAATCCTGAGTTTGAGACTCATACATGTTCAGCTCCGATGATAAAGCCTAAAAAAATGAATCGGTACACAAGCTATAGGATTAAAGGCTGTCCACTTTGGAAAAAAATGTTTTATTTTTGTTAAATACCACCTTTCTACTGTCCTTCCTTTTTCAATATAGTTTTCAAGTGAGATGTCCAACAATATCTTGTAGCAAACCAAAGATTTTCAAACATCCAAAATGATGGATAGCTGATTTTAATGATATACTTACATGAAAATACAATACTAGATGGATAGAATCTGGTGGTATAGAAAGGCATTTCATTTTTTTAATTGATAATTATTATATATCTCCCTCATACAAATACTGTATGATGATAATCTGAAGCAATTTCTCTGAAGAGCCAGAGAGTTTATTGGAACTGTGGTGCTGAAGTACTGCAAAAGGCAGAAATTCTATAAACTGAAATTTTATTTGAACTAATCTTTTCCTTTCCATTAAACTTTTATTTTATGCTTGTCCACCCATAAGGGACACAAGACTGAACTGCCTATTTTTAACATTTAAATCAGATCAATTTGAATCTCAGCTAGATTAAAAAAAATAAGCCTGGCTTTCAAAGGCTATAATAAAGTCACACTTCCCAGGTGGTCCTGATCTTGCATGCAACTTTAATTTGTTAGTGTGTGTCCACATGAGTAAATGTGTAATGTCTGTTTCTTTTATTTTAGACTATTTTGAATAATCTTTTAAATAAAAGCATTGCACTATGACTGCAGCCATGCAAATGCCAATGTTAACCTGCTTTCTAAATATGTTATCATGTGGATAGTTCCAATGTTTGAATACTATAGCAAGCAGAATAATTAATTCATGCGTTAATTCATTTAAAAAACCTACAGATAAGTTAAGGACACATCTATCCCAAGCAGAAAAGGCCTCTGGATGCCTGGGGTAAAAAAGGATAATCTTTTTCAAAAGAAGGATATATCTTTTATGTTTATTAGTGAATAATCTAATTAGAACAAGGGAGTGCAAAGTTATGCCTGTAGTGTACTTGAGCCTCTTGTATTGTGTGAAGTAATACTATGCACATTACAAAGTGTTTTCTAGACACATTGTTGGTGCAATGATAAACACTTGAGCTTATCCTAAGCAGGATCAGCTACAACACATAATTTTTTCCCACTTTCAAAAAATGTATATTTGCCAGAATTTGAGTATTGTACTTTTATTTAGAATAAGTATTCCTGATACATGTATCAGTATACACAGAAAAATGTACAAAAATCAATTGCACTGCAATATCTGGTTATATTTTGAAATGGAAATTTTATTGCGGTCTCTTTATGTGAAAAGAGAAAACAGTATGAAGACAATTTAAAAAAACACACTGCTACAGTGTGTTTGTGAAAAGACATTTGAAAAACACATTTATAGTATATAGTTAGGCATCAGTAATTCCTGTTGCACTTTTTGTCTGTTTAGTTAAACCTGTGCCACTGGTGCCTGAGGTACAGCTTAATAAACTTCGGGGAAAAAAAGTAGGACTTAACCTGAAATGGATTTTACTTATCTTTAATAGTCATATGCATAGAAAAATTGTGTTGTATTCAAAAGAATCATTATTTCTGCATAAATAATTTGTTAATTAACCAATTTAAACTGAAGAGTGGCACAGTTGAATGATATAAATACTGTCTCTTACTGTATGTCAACTCTTCGGGTTCTGGGTTGAATTCTGCTCAAGAAAACCTACTGTGTAGAGTACTGTATATATGACCCCCCCCCCCACCTTGTGCACAGATTTTTAGTTAAGGGGCTCTGGATTCCTACCACCTTCTTAAAGATGTGTTGGCTAAATTACAGGTAAGTTTTGTCTCTAAATTCTTATTTTCTTACACCTTTGATGGACTGGTTGGAGTTGCCCTGACCCTTACCAGGAAGTATCAGTTTTCTGATAATGAATGGAAGATTTCAAGTTTAGTAGTCATTTTTTATTAGAAGATTCACATTCACTATAATGACAAGGAAAAGGTTTTCTGGGGGTTAAACACATTACTACACATGAATTAATTCTGGAGCCCTCAACAGCAATTGTTTGCTTGAAGCGTATTTAACGATACTGCAATAGTGCTACTTCCACATGAGCTGTTAGAGTGAATAAGTGCATATTTAATTAAAAGCTGGTAGTGGAAGAAAAGATGTGGAGCTAAAGCAAACCTTAAGCTGTTTAGTCTTGTCTCTCAGTGTCTGCTGGTAAATCTGCAACTGTTCTGCTGCTTCAGGTCCAGGTTGTCTTGCAAGGATGTGCTTCAGTTCTACATACAACTTCTCTTTCTCCTGTGGATGAACAAATAAACATTAGAGAAAAATCCTCTCCACAGCATGTTTGCTGAATTACAAACAAAAAGGTGATTTTTGTACTCCAGAACACCATGTTCTTCCTTTTCCTAAGAGGTTGTAAGACTATAGTATTGATCTGGAATCAATGATAGGCTGTATTAAGTAGAACAAGTAGAACACATTTTGCACTAGAGTAAAAAAAAAAATATTTTAGCCTTTTTTTTAAATTTGGGAAGCCCTGTTCCTCATTACCTAATTTAAAAGTTATTTTTAGAAAATAAAGTATTTAAACAAAAAAATGTTTTTACAAAAATGTCCTCTGAAATGTACACATTAAAACATTATCATCCATTAATGTGGTTTAAAAATAGCTAAAAAGGGTTACAATTCCACAGATAATTTAAGTAGGCTACACATACGTGATGCATTCAGACAAGTAATTATTCCTGAGTGAATCCTTTAAAATAACATATATGGGAGCAGCATTATTACTACCGTACAGGTCATTATTGATACAGGCTACAGTGTTATATTGAAACAACACCATTTCTTTTTACATGGACAGTTTCACTGCAGTAAGCGAATAGAGATGGTGTATTCCAGTGCATTTCACATAAGTACAAGTTACAAATGTTGCCATATGATTGAAAATAATAGGGAAATGGTAGCACTTACTGATAAAAATGCACTTTTCTAATTTCATCAACAGTTTTAATTTAAACAAAACAATAATTTCTTACTGCTGTATATACAATATCTTGGGTCAAAATATGGTGTCTTCTTCACAGTGTATTGAATATACTGTACAACATTATTTTCAAGGGAAACTAAACTACAGTACTGTAAGTATTGTAAATGTAAGGGTGCACACTTGAATCTCATTCACAGATCTTTGCAACAAATAGCATCGCACAGTGTGTATGATAGTAACTCACGGGTTAAAGAAATTGTTTATTTTATGTACACAATCTTATACTGTATGTGGATATGTGGGTGCATATTTCTGAATGCACACATCTGGATGGGTAAGGACAAAGGTAGAAGTTCGTGGAAAAAGGAGGAAGAGGACTATAGGCTATACAGTAGGGCTTGATACAGTATGTTTCCTGAGAAAGCTCCTTTACTTGTTGATCCACTTCGGGCAAGATAAAAAATATGTTTTATTTGATAAACATTATTCTAGCAAAATAAATTAATGAAAGACTGTCAATTAAACCATTGATGAAGGAGTTCATAGAGGGAGAAAGTTCAGCATCTCATAACAAGCAAAAAGTTCTAAAAAAACACCTAAAATACGGTCAGAACACTCAACAGGTCAAGCAGCTAAGGTAGCAAAAGCAGTTGCACAAAGCAAATAGGCAATAAATGAGAAATGAGAGAGCAAGTACAGTAAATGCAAACACTGTTTGCATTTTTCTCAAATGCAAAATTAAATCTTAAATCCTACATAGCTATCCTATGGGCTTTTCACTGAATCCACAGCATTATTATAAATACAAACAATAATCTGTGCTCTACTTACATTATGAAATAAAGGAAAGAAAACATTTTGACCCCAAGCACAAAACAACACTTTCATGTTATATAGAATATGCAATAACATACATGAGAAAACAAGCAAACAATTGTTCAGCAAGAGATTAGGTTTGCAATAATTGCAAGATGAAAAGAACAAAAGCAATCCTTTGGGTTAAAAGACTTCCTTATGGGGTTTTCCTATTAGCCAGGGCTGTTCATATGTGACTAGATGAGAGAAACAGCCCCAAGAGTAGCCTTCCCTTCAATTGTCTCCTAATTTCTGAAATCATTTTCTATTCAACAGCATCTGAAATGATTTATCACAGTGAGCAGTGTCTTTGTTTGAGGTATAATGTGATTGTCTACTGGTTCAATAAGAGGTAAACTGTTCCACAGAGAATAGTCTGTGCTTCAAATCTGTTTGGTGGCTCCATAATCCATTTATATCCTACATCTTGCTGCCACATATATGTAGACTCAGATGTACATGATGTACGTTCCTGAAACCGGCAGGTTACAGGTTATAACTCTTGACTAAACTATTAGATATCTTTCTACACATGTGTCTTTCGATAGTCTTGAAGATTCGGATTTCACTCTAAAACCAAATACACAAGAATAAAGATAAAGTCTATCCCAGAGCCACAACAGCTCATCAAACAAGAGCTCATACAGGTTTCTGTAACATTAAGTGTACAGTACTAAAGAGCAAGTGACTCCTCGGGTTGTAAGGGATGCTGCTCCACTGCAGGGACTGCAAAACTGGTCCCCATTTATATAGATGGGTGGACTCAAGCAGATGGGGTAAAATACCTTATTCTAGGGTTGAACAGCAGTGTCTGCAGCAGGAACTTAAGCCCAAAGCTTTAAACACTATGCTATATTTTTTGAAAAACATAAGAAATACACACACACACAAAATAACCCAGAACTCAACAACAAAGTAAGCCGTGTTTTTGAAAAACTGGTTAGTATAATCAATTTCTGTAAAGAAAAATATTGTTCACCATTTTAACTATATAGCTTAATAAAAAAAATAATAAAGCCACTAGTAGAATACAGTAAATGTTGACCAGAGAAAACTGGTCATAAGGTTTCAAAGAATTTAATTTTTTGTTTCTAATAAAATGTAATTCAAAGCTATGAGGTGCCATTTAGGCCATTATTAAAACTATACCTCCCATACACAGACAAATTGCTCTCACATACTGTACAGACAAAATGCTCTCACACTCTCCATTTTACCTCTCACACACAGAAAACGCTATCACATTCATTAGTTTTACCTCACACATACAGTACACACAGAAAGCTCTCACATTCACTAGTTTTACCTTTCACACACATACAAAACACTCTCACGTTCACTAGTTTTACCTCACACATATACATACAGTAAAACACTCCTTCACAGTGTGACCATGAGAGGCAAAACTAGTGGATTTGAGTGCATTTTATATGTACAGTATGTAAGACAAAACTAGTGAATGTGAGAGCTTTCTGTATGAATGTGCAAAGTAAAACTAGTGAATGTGAGAGCGTTTTCTGAGTATTTGAGAGGTAAAACTAGTGAATGTGAAAGCATTTTGTGTGTATGTGAGAGGTAATATGAAGAGTGTGAGAGCATTTTGTGTGTACAGTATGTGAGAGCAATTTGTGTGCTTTGAGAGATGAAGTTTGAATAATGGCCTAAATGGCACTTCATACAAAGCAACATTATTACACTTGTTGGTATTTCCTCTATTACATTCACAGCATAGACTTATTGAGCCACAAGGTTCTTCTGGAATTAAAAAGAAAGATAAATCTTGGAAAGAAAGTATCCTTGTTCAAATACACCCAGCAGCATTCACTTAAAAAGTTATCAAGGGTCCACTGTCAAGTCCTTTAATTTATGTATTTCTTCATGTAGAAAAGAATGGGCTCATGAGATTGTAAAGCTATCACTGTTTGATATGATGCTAAAAAAATTAAAGACCTATGCAACCAAATCTAAAAATCAAAGCTAGTTAACATTCGTTTTCAATTTGGCCTTCCTTTACATGTACAAATAAAGTGCTTAGTAGTATGCCTCACTGTATCTGAATATTACAATTCAACAAATATAAACATGTAAATACTGTATATTTGTATAATTAGAATTCTAATACAAAGAACATGGGTTTGGGGCTATGAAAAGAGGTTGCCAAGGACACAAGGAATATTAAGTATTTGTGACAATTGCGAGTCAGCAAAAAAGGTACGAACTCCAGCCAAAAACACATAAAGCAGTAGATAACATGAGAGTCTGTTAATAGGCCAAAGCTGCTTAAACAAATCAGGAATGATTGCATGCAAATGCAGCAGGCCTTTGCCTTCTTCGGTGAGTCATTATGCATTAAACGAAAAATGTTACTCCTGTTCCTATGCCAAAATTTCTAAACGCAACAGCTTTAATATACAGTATATTTCTTTATCATTTTTATAAAGGGATTACGTGTCTATTGTAGATTATTTCTGATCATAAAATAACTAGGTTCTGCCAAAATCTAAGGGAACACAAGCTGTTAAAACCTGAAACAACATTTTAGTTGGATAATTATCTATCCAAAGCAGTTGTTTCAAATCATTTGTAAGCTTCTCTAACAAATTTTAATATTGTATTCAAAAGATGAGGAACATTCAGACCTCATTTACCCATATGTACTGTACAACGTTGATTAATAAGGATTTTTTTTTAAGTGACAAAATAAATAATAAATTAGTAGATTTTAAATTATAAACTATACTGTATATACAATACTGTATACAGGTATATACAGTACCTGTATACACTAGTGATTTGCCTTAGAAAGTAACCAGGATACCTTTTCAATAACACTATTAACGTTACACTAGTACAGTAAGTGTTCAAATAATTATGCCAGTGTTAATTAACAAAATAGTTGTGCTGCATTGATTTTGGCATTTTCAATACCTTGTTATGTACAGTATATTTCACTACAAAGAAGTCTTGCTAATCTAATAAACAATCTGCCATATTTGCAACAATTTAATGTTATGTGGGAATCAGTGATTTTAACACAATTATTAATGTGCTCCTGGAAAAAGGTGTTTTGAAGTAACAAAATGACATACATGTATACAGTATACTGTAACTGGTCTTGAGATAACACTCTGTGCATCAACACGACAAACATAATAATTTATTGACAGAGCAGCAAATTTTTACTTCTGTTAAATTCTGCGATTAGATCTTAAGTCTCCTACAAAAAGTGATTATAGTTCATATACAGTAGGTGTGTCTACCATCGTCCTTCTGATCTTTTGCGGCACTTCAGACATCCACAGATCACTTCATAGGACTCAATCTACCATCTCTGCTGCTATCCAGCTGAGTGGATGCCCTTACAGAAAGGGTTAACCACTATGTGAGTATCCAACTGATTCAGTAGAAGCAACAACAACATATAAAAAGCCAGTTATACTGTATATCTGAA